CGACTCTGCCCGCCTCCGTACGGCAGCTCCGGCTGCAGTACCCTGAAGTAATCAGCCCAGTAGCAAAAATAAGTAACGAGCTGATAAGCTTGCTGGTTTTAGTTCTTCTTGACTGATGCTGGTGTGTCCTGGTGATTGGGAACTACTGGTTTTGGGGCTTTTTAACGGTCAGATAATATGAAGAGTATCGTCTGCTTGGGTGTCTGGTGTCCTCTTTCCCTACTGCTGGCAGGCAATTTAAATACAGTGTGTCCTGATTGTCTACTGGTTTGTTGTTTGGTTTTATTTTTAATGTCTCAGTAACATCCATGGCCCTAGGGGAAAATTTAAATTATAAGAATTAATTCTTGTCAGATTGTTTGTTTGAATTTCAAGATGTTTTGCTGTTCCAGAAATGTTACAGTGTTGGTAGCAGGATCATGAGGCCAGGTTAATCCAAATTGGCTTGCAAACACTTGTAATTTTGGATTTGGAGAAAAATTATTCAGCCTAACATAACTAATACATTCATGCTGTAAGGTTGGTGATAATAAGTTCTTTAGACGTCTAGACATGTGATTACACTAAGTGCAGATAAACAAAATCATTTGTGCATGTGTTGCATGTAGAAGATGATGCAGAACTGCAGTACTCCGCAAGCACTGGTGGAGCCGGAGTCAAGGGTGGTCATTCTTGGCTCACAAGAATAGCCATGTGTGGTGTGAGAAGCTTTTAATTGCAGATTACTAATGGTCAGGGTTAATTTTACAAAAAAAAAAATGAGACAGTAGATTGCCATAAATTCTGGTTGGAAGATTTTTGATACGTTTTGAAGGATACCATTCCTCACAAGTTCCACTACAGCCTTCTGGTACAACATTATCCCTGCTTAACCATAGTTGACTTGATTTAGGATGCTGAACAAATGCTTCAGCATTGGCATGAGTGACTTCAGCAAGTCCATGGATTTATGCTTTTAGGTTTTGAGGTTAGCTCTGCAAAAACAGTCGGAGTAACTTAACCCAGAAGGTATAATAAAAAGCACTTTTATATATAAAGAGCAATTTGAATGATGGGCAAGGAAGAATATAATTGCTTTAGATGTCAAGCCAGGGTACTAAATTTGTGAATTTTTATGATGTTGAAGAATGACGTCTTTAGGTTTGTCTTCAGTAGCTTGAACTTTTTAATGTTTTGTTCTGCTTGAAACCTTAGCTTTTCAGTGTCAAGTTGGAGCGCTGCCAGTGTCAGAGAGAAGAGGTAGGCGCTGTGAAATGGATGTTTCAAACCAATATATGAAGTCAACACTAATTTTCTTGACTTGGAAGTTAAGATAGTTTCTTTCTAGCCAGCAGGTTTCTGGTTTTGGGGGAGACTTGGCTATAGTGAATTTAAAAATAATCTCATCACCCCATGCAATTTTATTATCAAATTTTAAATTGCAAAATTCTTAAAGGGAAGGTGAGTTACAATCCGGCTACTGCCAGGCTCCTGTCACACTGTTGTGTACTATGGATATTCCCCTTTTGCTAGAGTCTGTTAATTCCTCCTGTTGCTATTCCTACACATGTCCCAGTTACATTACACCCATCCCAAGGCTATATTATTTCCTTCCTCTCTTTGCTTGAGTTCAGCCTTCCAGTGCACAAGCAGGGTGATACTGGCTGAAGGAGGACACAGCTCAGTAACATGAGATAATTTGTTCTCATGGGCTGTCTACGGCACCAGGAACAAGACCCTAGTGTTGCAATCCCAGCCCTGGCACTGACTTGCCGTACTTTCTGTATCTGTTTCTTCCTTTCCATAATTGCCAGTAGTCGCCTGCCTTCCACTGAGGGCCACGGGTGGCCAGCAAGAGGCTTGTCAGGGGAAGGAGATAGCTGTGGCGCTCTTACTCTGCACAACACGGGCCATAGAATTTCATCTTAAGCAGCTGAGCACTACTTTTTAAGCACTGTTTCATAGCAACATGAACACAGCAGCATGTACAGCATCCCGGACCCTTCCTGGGGGCAGTGCTGTCTCTTGCAGCAACTGGCTAATGCTGGCAGGCGCGTCCGGGCTCGGGGTGGCAGCAGGAGCCTGGCACTGACCTGCAGAGCTTCACTGCTTCCATTTTTATGGTTCAGTTAAGATGAACCCTAAGGCTTATCTCTGTGAAAACTGTGGGCCAGTTTCTGTGCAAGTCCATCTCTGCCAGTAGCAAAGCCAAATAACCCAATCTATTGGAAATGTGTTTGGAGATTGATGCCAGATTCCCAAACTGGAGAGCATCAGCTTGCAATTCAAGTGGTGCTGACATTTGCGAGAAGGCTTTCTGTACTAAGCCGTCAGATGTTAGCTAGTGTATGTAATTAACTTGGTATAATTTTGCTTCAGAATGAAATATTCATTCAAAAGAGACTTCAAAAAAAACATCCTGATGTTTTAATGTCTGGGTAGCAAGTGATGCTGCGTAGACTGAGGCATACATTTATTGTTGGAGAGGCTGGTTTCATGGCAACTCCTGTTTGTTACTATGGTACACAGAAAGTCCCGAAGGCTTTTACTGTCCGTCACTTCTTGGGTCTTGTGAGTAATCTGGATACAAAACCCACTGGTGTATGTTAACAGTGGAGATGGAAAACAATAGGAAAATACTGCAGCCTGAAGTGCTCTGGTTGTGTAATTATCCCAAAGGGCAAATGTAGAACTTTATCTTGCATAGTAGTTTTTCTAGAGTTTGGTAGTAAAGCTTGTGACCGGAGCAGCAGGAGAGGGAACAGAAATGGAAGGGGTAAAACAGATTTCTTTTGCCCCAGAGGCAACTCAGGAGTGAGTTAGGGAAGCGATAAACAACAAAACCAAACCAGAAACTCATAGCTTGCAGCAGGTGGAATACCAAAGAGACTGCCCTGAATCTGTAAGAGAGTCAAGGATTTGCTGAGAAGAAACAGTTATGAAAGTTTAGAAATTAAGTAGTGCCATTTGAGTAAAAGGCTGGCACAGGGTGTTGTGTGGAGTTGCTCCATCCAATTCCTATTTGCCTTTCCATTATGAAGTTCACTGGCCACTTCTGGTCTCTCTAAATGTGTTACATATTTAAGTTTTCATGCTGCAGCTTGCAGAAGGAATTGGTTCTTTCTTGGACTTAAACCTTATTGTTTCTGCTTTTGAAAATTATCCCAAGCACCAAAATTGCCCTTTTTTGCATAATCAAAACCAAAATGAAGTGTTTGTCTCAGAGCGCAGGTTGAATTTGCAAAGTTTATGATCAGAAGAAACAGCTGCTTGAAAAATGTGTGTGCATGGGATGCAGAATCAGTGAATTCAGGTGAACACAGAGATCCTGTCACACTTAATGGTTTGGGTTTTGTTTTCAGATTCTGTGCAGGAAGGACCATGTAAAGACTGAAATACCAACACATTGATTTGCTGTTGGTTTCCCATTACCACATGGTTGCTCTGACACTTCCATAAGTTCAAGTTCGTAGAGTTATTCTACATTTTACCCTAATTGATGCAGTATCTCACCAGTGTAATTGGCTGGATGAGAATCAGAGCAGGCGGGTTGCTGCTGTTACGAGAAGGGATGAATACTACTTTGCAGTTGCACATAACCTATAGGTGAGGATTCTCATTTTGTACCTGAGTATTTTAGTTTGGTTTTGCTTTTGTGCTTAGGCTGACAAATAAGGTTGAGTGCTAACTCCAACAGAAAGCATCCCACTTTCAGTGAAAACCTCTTCTTTTTTTAAAAAAGTAGTCATAAGACAACGTGTAGCATTGACCAGAGATGACACATCAAGAGGAAATTGTGTCTGTGGAGAACTGAGAGAGCTTTGCAGCTTTGCTTGTTGACACATGCTCCTCACCTACAGCAGCATGCTAAAATCATCTTTATATTTTGATACAAAGAGGGAAAGAAAAGAGGCAGTTATATTAACCCACCACTTTCTACATACGTTTTATTCTGAGGATGTTAGTGATGGAAAAACATCATAGTTTACTTTCAATTCAGTTCAATATTTGACACCAGTAATTGTTACCCTCCAAATCTCTGCTGACTTACATCTGGCCTGTATCCAGCTGTTGTGCTGCTGCAGAAATGGGGGCTGTGGCAAAGAGGAATACAGCGAAACACTTGGCATCCTCCCTCCCACGGCACACAGTCAGTGAATTACACAGCTGTAGGAGTTCAGGGGCAAAAAAACTTAGGGTGTGGCAATATTAAGCACCAACTAATTCTCCTTATTCAGAGAGGCTTTCATGTCTTGCAGTGCTTTTGTTAATCTCACTTTATAGATACTTCTGCTTTTACAAATTGGTCTAGTAGATGCTTCAGTGCAGCTACCTTATTAATGACTGCTTATCTACACCAGTGATTTGTAAGCAGGCTGGTTATCACTTGGGATCTTTTTCTTAGAAAAATGACAGCTGTAATAAGAGTGACAGCCCTGAGTCATGTTATGATTTAGACTTTGTTCTATGGCAGCAGAACTGGAAGTTTAAGCAGCTCTTTCCCCACATTCTTTCCTGTTAGAATGCCCTTTATTCTGATAAATACCTGGCGTGGACGATAAGTACCTAATGCTTTTCCTTACAGCAGGGTGTGTGCTTGCCCTTCCTCGTTGTGCAGGTTTGTGGGGAGCTGCTGGGAGCCTGGTGCTGTTACACACAGGGGCAGCTGGTACTCTGACGCAAGACTAATTCATGCGATTTTCATTAAGTCTTTAGCTGTGTTACCTTCTTCTTTGCCGTGGAGGATAAAATCTACGGTGCTGGGCTTCGTTTCTGGCACAGAGTGCAAGTTCAGTGCTCTTGGACAAATGCACACACTGTGATGAACTGCTGCAGTTTTTATGGGGAAAGAGTTATTGATGAGCTGAGCGAGCTCACTGTGATTCCGCCTCCTTGAAAGAAGCTGCATAGATATTGGCGCCAGTTGGATAAAACATTTACCAAGTGAAGCTGCAAATGGTTTTAATAACTAGAATATGTGTAGATTGCCCTCAAAAGAATTGCTTTTTTTCTTCTTTTAGTTTCTTGCACAGCCAACCACGTGAAGGAGGAGTTCTTCAACCCCTTGTTTCAAAAGACCTCGGGCTGCTTTCTGCTGTTCAGCTCCCTTCGCTCCCCCGTTTCCGCAGACGAGGAGGATGAGGCAGCTAAGAGGAAAACCCAAAAAAGAGACCTCCAAAGATAAAAAGGAGAGAAAACAGGCAATGCAAGAGGCCCGGCAACAAATCACCACCGTGGTGCTTCCCACCCTGGCTGTCGTAGTACTGTTGATTGTTGTATTTGTTTATGTAGCGACTCGTCCAAATACAACTGAATGATACAGCTTTTCAGACTTTCTAGCTTCGGGGTATTAATAATTCTATCAAGAGCCAAAAGGAACTCTCTGCCACCCTTTTACTACTTTACAAAGGAACTTCGTGGTATTTTCAGTCTTTCTATTGGTTAGGGTCCCACAGATTCTATTTAGGAATGTAACATAAAACGTATTAGTGAATGTGCCAGTACGTTTTATGGTCCAGTTCATGTGCCTTTCAGACTTTTAAAATGGTGTTTTTCTTAAATCTGTTTGAAGCTCTATATTGTAAAAGGAAATTGTGTTCTGCTATAAATTTGTAAAAAATCAGCTTTCAGCTTTTATCACTGTTATGGATAACGTTGCTCCCATGAGCTCTTGTATGTCTATTTCAGAACTTCCAAAGAGGTAAATTTCTTCTTTGTACTTAATGTCATATGAAGTGCTTTGATTCAGAAAGGATATATTTATTTTTTGCATAAAAGAGAGAAGTCTTACTTGGAATCTTCAAATTATTTTGCAAAAAATGTGACTTATTGTGAAAGCCTACATTATGTAATAATTTTTTCATTAAACACTATATAGTTCACTCAGAATTTCTTTTTGCTATGAGATACCAACTTGCAATGTGAATATTTCAGGATCTGCCAGAAGGAATCTTCCAGAAGTTGGAAAGGGAGATTCTACCAGTTTATGGTGAAGTAACTAATAACAAACTACGTAAACACAGATAATTGTTTATCTAAATGTTAAATATTTAGATCTGTATAAGTGGCAATTAAAAAGTGGGTTTGGATACAGCCCTTGAGATTTTTTTTTTTTTTTTTTTAAGGAAGGAAAAGTAACATTAGTGTAATTTAGGTCTCTAATCTCTTTGCTGAAGTGAGCTGCTGTCCTGTGACATGCCCCTCTCCCCCTCATTTAAAGGAGGCTGTGAGCACAGCTTGGCCAGTTTGATTCTAGGAAAGCAAGCTATAAATTCTGATCAAAATGCTTCAATAATCCTGTATTCTTCTACAGCTCTTTCTCATCCAAATATTTTAAGGCACTTGGTAAGCATTAACCTTCAGAAGACTTTGGGGGAGGGAATTGGAGAACTCTTGACTGCTGCTTAAATACAGGCCAAGCAAGAAAGAATGTGATGCTACAGTGCACTGAAGCGTAGCAGGAAATATTTCGGTGCTGAAAGTCAAAGACCCCTTGAATTTTTACTTCACATGCTGTCTTTGGCACAGCACAGTCCCAGTGAAGTCGCAGAACCATAGAATGGTTTGGGCTGGAAGGGACCTTAGAGACCACTTAGTCCCACCCCCTGCCCCGGGCAGGGCCCCCTTCCCCCAGCCCAGGGTGCTCCCAGCCCCGTCCAGCCTGGCCTTGAACCCTTCCAGGGAGGGGGCAGCCACAGCTGCTCTGGGCACCCTGGGCCAGCGCCTCAACACCCTCACAGGGAAGAATTTCTCCCTTGCATCTAATCTAAATCTACCCTCTTCCAGTTTAACACCGTTACCCCTTGTCCTATCTCTACCTGCCTTTGTTAAAAAGTCCCTCTCCAGCTTTCATTGTGTATTTCAATTCCCCAAAATGTGCAATTTTACTGAGTGCTAATTGAGAGAAAAATAGTGTTACACATTCTGAACTGTTCCTTGTGCAGAAGCTAGAATTGATTTCACAGTTTGACTCTTTAAAAAAAAATATATATATATTTTTGTCTAGTAAACAGTGAAGTTGGATTCTGACATTTTCTACCAAATTCCCTTTTGCTAGTATTGGATGTGAGAATGCGCATTTGGAAAAATGGTATGAAGCTGCTGTAGACAGAAACTGTCAAAAATCACTGGGAAATAATCAGGAGGTAAATTAGTGGCAGATGCCCAAATGTCAACTCCTGTGAACTTCTCAGCCAAAGAGGTGTGTCTGGTTTTTAGACTGTATGTATTACACCAACTGTCAGTTGCCTTCAAAAACGTTTTAGAAACAGGGTTTCAAACCTTTTCCCAGAATACAGTAGCTTCTGGACAAAACTGAATGATTTATTGCAAGCATTTTACCAGAAAACTCATGCTGAGATACTTCTTCAGCAGCGTCTTATGATATGGCTTCCAAGAGTGCTCATTATCAGGTGAAGTAATTAAAAACCTGCCATTTCCTTCTGATAAATCAGGTTGTGGAAGCAATTTTTTAAAACCAATTTTTCAAAGCATAAATCAAATCTGAGTCAAATACTTCAAATTGCTAAAAAAATAAAGGGATCTTGTCCATCTGTGTTATACGTGGCCCCGGCTTCCCAAACCCAATGAGGGAAGCCAACGACGGTGCCCATGGTCTGAAGGAAGAACTACGCGTATTTTCAGAACTCAGAGAAATTGTCTTCTGTTTCAGTCCATCTACAAGAAAATGATAACTTATTCATATCCTGATGTCCAGAAAACGGTGTTTTTAAAAAAATACAGCAGAGAAAATGCACTATTCTATTTTCAAGACTAGTGTTTGGTGCCCGGATGGTACCCGTACGGGTTTGAATGCTCCTGGAGCTCTGGAAGATGTCAGCGATAGCCTGCACTTTGATTCTCTGGTTTGGTCCCACATCACAGAGATGTTTCTTACCAGAAGTTTCTTGCCAGGGCAGGTAGTTCCAGTTCACAGTCCACGAAACATCAAAGCCACGTCCTGCCATCCACGTCCCAGCCAAGTGTCTTCGTCACCGCTACGGGTGAAGATGTGAACTGATGTTGTCTTCTGTGCACCACCTTTATTTGGTTGAAAAGTTTCAACCAAAAAAATTCTTCTTACAGCGGTTACATGGGATGCTGAGGAGCAGGACTTGTGTAGGATTTCTTGCTCCATCTGGGATTGTACAAGGGTTCACGGCCAGTAAAGTAAATCCTACATCTGTTCCAGGAAGTTCAGCGACAGGATAGTTTAAGACTGTTCTTTGCATGCAAACATGTTCCCGTAAGGTAACTGGGCACACACATTCTTGACAAATCTGTTCTGAAGCCCCTAGAGGTTTGGTTTAGGGGAACAAACCGACTGGTTTGTTGATTTAGGAGGGGACACTGGAGCGCAGTGTATCAGCATCTCGGGGGCGTTGCTCAACCTACTAGCGGAAATTTAGGTGCAGTACGTACCTTACAGCCTATTTATGGATGTGTGGGTGTCCGTCTGACTAAATAGTAACTTGGACACTGAACTTTGAGCTCTGAACCCTGCGGTGAGAAAGAAAACAACACACAGTTCCCACATTGGTTTGGCCAATTCAGACGAGCTCTGCTATGAACAGTCTTTAACCCAGCATTTTCTCAGCAGACAGCTGTGGCTGAGAAGAAAAAACTTCCCTAGCACAAGGCAGTTGGTGTAAAATCTAGCTATTTTGCACAGAGTTAAATGGGAAAAACTGATTGTGAATGATACAATTGGCTGTTGTAGGTTGTAAAGGCGGAGAGGAACATCATCCCATCCTCCCTATGATACTGGAGAAGGAGCTGCCCCCGCTCCCCCCCCCCCCCCCCCCCCCCCCCCCCCCCCCGCCCTCCAGCCGTTTGGTCTCTGGGAGACCCCCAGGCAAAATGCTGCAGGACTGTCTGGAGCTCAGCACATGCCTGAGCTGGCTGTGTACATAAAACTTTTGATGACTGGCATGACATACCATGGATGTAAAATCACCTGGGGCTCATCTCATTAGACAGCTCTGTTGATGACTTCTCGTTCCCACTGGTGGTGGTCAGTGTAGTTTTGAATTCCTAAGCAGTGATGGGCTTGGTTTGGTTCTGTGCAGTGTTGTACCACTGTTAACTCAGGAATTATAACCAGTTACACTACCGTAAGGCCAGAACAGTGAGACTGGGGGGTGAGGCGCCTTCTGTCACATCTCTGGTCGCAGCACAGATTTATTAGTCTTTGAACAAGTAAGCTAAAATCATTGTCTACTCATCGGAAAAGCAAGAAAGCTGTGCCTGTAATTTTTCATGTTTGTTCATTTTTGTGTTCCTTTGGCACTGAGTTTTGATGCTGTTACTTGCATTCCTCTCTGCATGGTTCATAATACCCACCGTCTGACACTCTCATACTCCTAAATTTCCCATACAGAAAAGAAGAGAGTAAGAAATCATAGGAAGAAAATGCACTGAATACCCAACTTCCACGTGAGCCACTTTGAAATGTTTCTGCTCAGTCACTGTCGTTTCACTGACAGCCCCATCAGAGTAAGTTTTGGGAAGTTTGTTGGACAGCAATGGTCTGGCAGCTCTTAAACCACCAACTATTTCAAAATTGTATCTTGATGAAATGTGTTGGCAACAGTCTGTACATGACCTCTGCTTTTCCTTCAACAAAAAAAGCTGGTGGCAGCCTGAACCATTGTTCTTTTTATTTAAAACAAGTCTTTCAACTGGGAGCCCAAAAAATGCTTTTCAGTAGAGCTTTGAAAAATCATAAAAGAAGTCCAGCAGCTTACAAGAATTTGCCATTGCCTGGCTATTCACAAAGTGGAAGAGAAATCTTCAGTGTATTTTGGGTAATCCACAGCTCCTGAACATTGCACCTTGTCCTGTCAAATGGATTTGTGACTGATAATTATTTTTTTTTTAATTTTTATTGTTGTTTTCAGACATTTATAGCCTTGTACCCTTCTGATTATTCCTTTATTGACAATATACATACAGCTCCAATCCCCGTTCATAAGCTGTATCATTTCTCAGGCTTTATTATTTCTGCTGTCGATAGTCTTTAAAAAGTTTTCCAAGTAAGTTGAAATGTGGTACATGTTGTGCTAACTACTTTTGGCATGATAACATCAGGAATATGTATCCTTCAGAAACCTCTCACCAGTTCAATTAAGTTTCTACCTTTTAATACAATTAAAGTATTCAGAACCAGCAGTCTGGCTCCATCTATACCCTGGCAGCAGTGAGCTCGTTTAAACTGGGGATTGTCAGATGAACGACTTTTGCTGATTTTGGCTAGCAAAGAGAAGGGTGACCTTTCAGGTAAGTATGTGTTAAGCAAATGGCACTCTGATCCATACTGTCTTGGCACATTTGTGGCATAATATGCTCGGAGCAGGAAATAACAGTAAACAAGTAGGCCGTTCCGATGCAGTTACTTTGCAGTTTTCAGTGCTTTTCATGGGGAGCTTATTATATGGTATTACATAAAAGCCAGGCTGAAACTAGCTCTGTTATTTCATTAGTCAAAGTTAGCTTGGCCAGATCTTCAAATGCTTTATCAAAAAACCTTGCTCGTTTTTTGGTAATTTCATTCATTCATTCTGTATCGTCACACACACCTGTATCACAGGAGGGATCCGCAGGCCTGGACTGGACTCGGACACGTACGTTTCTTTGAAGATCTGGAACATACTGCCTTGTATGTTTAAATCTTGGAGCAGCAAAAGAATCTGGATAACTGGCTAATATCCCTCCCTTTTTTTTCTCTTGCCCTGCTGAAAGACAGTATTTTGCTGTCTTACTGCTTCTACAGACCTTTCCCAGCTTAAAATTTAGCTTCATTTTCAGAAGTTCCTAATTTTCTTCATTAGTTCTTTTAAAACTCCCAGATGCATCTCCCTTTAAGTTGAGGACACATATATATTTAGTTTGTTCAGATGTCCTTCCATCATCTTTTTATTCAGTCCTCGTTTGTCCAGCTGAGTCTAGTAATTTTCCTGAATTTTCCTGTAAAAGGTTCTTTAATGTCCTCATTTTCATTACTCATTTTATTGCAAACTGAGACAAACTGGTATTTAAAATCTTGGTAGTTTGTGTGTGATGTAGTATATTTTGTCTTAATGGAAATATAGCTT